AAGTAAAAAAAAAAAAAAAAAAAAAAAAGAGAAATTAAGTATAGACATATCCAAGAATGGAAATTAATATATAAACTCGAAATTTACACGACTTCTCGCGTATTTGTATGAGTGAATGCGCCAGTTTATTCATGCATTAAAGTTTTCTAGTTAGAATTAATATTAATTACGCGAAAAATTTTAGGTGCAAGGCGCGTTATAGAAATCAATGACTAAAATAAAACAAATATAGTAAATTCAGATTCATGCAACACGAAATCATTTCCTTATAACGACTTTGTATTATTTTAGATTCAACCCTCATATTTATTATCAGCTTAGTTAATTTGTTCCTGTAAGAATAGTAGTAACAAAAGTTACCATCGTAATAGATATAATAGATATGTACTAAACCATCTATTAAAAGTGATTTTTAAATCGCAGGCCATGTTTGGCTCCAGGTACACATGGATTATATATATATATTATATATATTTTATTATCTTTCTAGATCTCTAAATGTATGTAGAGTGTACTTTGAGAGTGTGTCAATTAACAGACTTCATACGGAATGCAGACTGAGTAACACAATAATTGTCCAATGAAATTACAGAATTAATTAATATATTTATTTCACGTCATTTATGTGTGGCATGTAAAATACAAAATTCTTATTCAGAATGGAGCCTAACGAAAGACTTGATGATATGCCTTTGACAGATAAAGATAAATTTTCTAAAGGTCTAATGACTCTTTTAACACCTGTTATTGAAGAAATGGATTCTAGAATTGTTGCTGTTAAAGCAAGTCAGTTAGAACTAAATAAAGAAATCGAAAGACTATTAGCAGGTATATCAAATCTTATTCCTAACACATTCAATATTGGTTAAATATTATATATACTGTATAATTAAATGTCTCCTGACGATAGAACTTCAATTATTCGTTGATGCAACGGAACAACCTTCAATTCAACCTTCCATTCAAAAATTAATTTCTGCTACAAAGAAACTAGCAACAACAAATGTAACCTTAAAGACTGTTCATGATAGAGTCGAAAAAATGTATGTTCAACTAGGTAAAAGTAAAGAAACGGCGACTTAGATTAGATGTGAGCTGATCTTCGCTTATAGGGATAAGGTTGTTAACTTTATTATTGTATGTACGAGTTATTAGATTTTTATACTAATATGATCTATTCAAATTATTAATTGTTTGTATAATCAATATATCAAAAAAATAATGTTTTAAATGTATATATACATTCATTTATGCCAAATGTTATTCATACAAAAATAATATAACAACTTTCTATGAGGTACAATCAAAAAAAAAAAAAAAAAAAAAAAAAAAAAAGACATGCATGTACATGAACAAATTAATAAAATATGAAGTGATTTATATATAAATTTCCAAAACTTTGCCCCCAATGATTCTTAAAATTTCTACCATCCATATTCATTTGTATATTCCTTTGGCTTGTGCTTTGCCAGCTTTTGCTTACGGGATTGAAACGTGTTATCATCATAATAAGTGGTACGGTTCGATCCTGATGACGGAGGTGTATATGGACTGGGTGATGAAGACGAGAAAGAATTGGATCGTGTTTGCCTGTAATGATTGCCTGCTGGACGTATTGGATTTTTTTGTTCTTCCGCTAATTTCCTTGCTAATTCTTCATCCATCTTTTCTTGCTTTAATTTTTGAGCTTTATCTGCTTCGGTCAATTCCTTTATAATTCGTTCATTTTGCTTTTCACTTTTTTTCTTCTCTCTTTCTCGTTTCTGTTTCTCCTTATTTTCTAACTTTTTTAGTTCTTCTTTCAATTCTCCTTTTGATTCCTCTCCCAAAATAAATTCATTTTTTTCCTTAGAAATACTATCATCTTCTGATTTATCCAAAAATGATAATATAGACATTAATAAAACGTATTCAAGTCCACGTCGATCATGGATATTAAGACGAGTCATGTTATCACTCATAATATTCACTATTCCACCTTTTTTGTTTTTGTGTTGGTATAGTGCGATGCATATATTTGGTTCTTCGCCAGACTGCACAATTTTACACTCTAAATCTTTGGAAAATGCTTTCTTTTTCCAGACAAATTTTTCATTTTCCCATCTAAATTTTTGTTCAAAACTAAATATTCCTGAATCTTTTAATTCGACACTATCATCAGGCTGTTATTAATTGAAAGATAGCACAATATTAATAATGAAATAAATTAATTCAAATAAATAAATTTTCAACTAAATGTACCTGATATAATAAAATTTTTTTTTGTTTCGCTTTTGTACTATCCCCTTGTATTTCAGCTAGAAGTAACTCAGTTATTGGATCGATTAATTTTGCACAATAACCGCCCGGAACCTATTATGTGCATTAGAAGATATTCATGTCAAAAAAGTGTAATAATTTTACATAACAACTATATATATAGGCGAGTTATTGCTAAAAAATTTTAATAATAAAAATATTTGAACTTACTTTCTGTCTAAACTTTTTATGCGTCACCTCATTAGTTGCCAAATGTTTAATTTCTACTACACCTTTAGTTTCTTTCTTAACAAACTCATACTTGTTTTGATTATCATTTTGCATGTTGTTAAAAGTTATTTACCATTAATTCCGACTACGTAGTAAAACGAAAACGTTTATTTAAAGAAATGGGTAAATATATTCATCATGATACAAGTATCTATTATTAGGCATTCATTTACATGCATAAAACCAATTCTAGTTGGTGAATGATCACATGGATTTAGCCAATCACATTGCAAGACAAGTATCGTACCTTAACTAACCAATCAAATACATAATTTTTAATTAATACTACAGTACTAGAAAATGAAAGAAACTTTGTATAACAAGTTTACAAACTAATAAATACACGCAAAAGAATTTATTATTTATATGTAAAGAATAGATATATACGCGTAAAGTGGGTATATATGACATAACTTACCATGCATTGTATAAAGTTTACCCGACAACCATTTTCCCGATATCCATTTCCTCGTCATGACCATTTCCCAACATGACGTGATTGTTGGGAAATTGTCGATGAAATGGTTGTCGGGAAAATGGTTGGTTATGTCAGGAAAATAATTGTCGAGAAATACAGTAATTGTCGGGAAAGTAGTTGTCGGGTAAATGCTGAAATGTTGGTAAACCATTGTATAAATTAAAACTAACTATTTTTTTTTTTTTTTTTTTTAACTCTTTGATAGTCTTGTCACTACCTTTATTAAAAGATAATTATTGCATATGCAAAACACATGTGACATATCTAAACTAAATAATCAGGTCGGCATCATCCGGTTGCTTCTCAAGTACCTAGATGTGACCTGTCACACTGCGTTATGAATAGAACAGAAGACATTGTCAGCCCTGCTCAAGAGCTAAAACTTAATTTTTTTCCATCTAGATCTTGGCGGTGAGCCTGTTTCTCCATTCAATAAAACCAAGAAAAACAAAAAAGAAAATAAAACAAAATTGCAAGAAGGGGAAAATAAGGGAAACAATTAAAAGAAAAGAAAACTATAAAGGGGAAAAAATGAAAACCTAAATGTAAAACTTTAATATAACTATATAAGAAAAAGATGAAAAAAAACAAGTAAGGCCCTTAGACTGGGCTAAACAATGTAATAAAAGAAAATAAAAGAAAGTACACTATTGTAACCTGTGCTAGGCTTAAAAAATTATATAACAAATGTAACATCTATATATCTTTACTGTAAGACTTTGCCTTAACATATTGGTTTCTTTCTAACTATACGACCAATCCAGATACATCTTTAAATGAGGACTAGTCAATAGGCCTTGTCATGTGGAGTAGCAATGTGTTTATTCTCAAACAAAACACATGGTTGCAATCTACCAGGTCGACTGAATTTGGAAGAAGTAAACAATGCTGATCTTTTGACAGAGTAAGCTGTTTTGCCCACTTTTTTTGAAAATTTTGTTGCAGACACAAGTGGGTGAGAGTAAAGAGTATAGACTTGTACTTTTCTTAAAGGAGAGTATATATTTCTTTAAAAATAGTAAAACAAGTAGGTCTGAGTGCACTGCTGATATTCTTTTCAGTAAGTAATAAACTCTGAACTTGTTAGCAAGTAGTGTATAAGAACTACTTCTAAATAACAAGTGCCATCTCCACGGTGAGTGATAAGCTCTGAACCTATTAGCAGATAGCGTATAAGAACTATCTCTAAATAATAGATGCCGGTTTATGGTTCTTGTTAGTCTTATGTCCTTCTTCTCTAACATAGTTCTATAGTTTTTGTCAAAATTTTTTGTTGTGAAAAGTTGGTCTGAGGAATCATCAAAAAAACTAACTATTAATCACAGTTGACAAACTTAAACATACTACAAAAACCAACCAAATTTAAATATTAAACCCAGAATTTTTTTGCTAAAAAGCTTGTATCTATTTAAATTAAATAGTCAGAAATAAAAGTTTATTTAAATTAATATAATAAAATATAGTAGTTTTAAATAAAATTATTTTTGGTTAATTTTATTTTATAGTATAATTTGATATAGTTTAATAAACACAGTTGACCCTCTATATAGTCACCTCCTATATAATCACATCATGTGTAAACTTATTTTTATTTAGGCCAAACTATGATTTAATTTATAAAAAAAACTCTTTATATAAGCATATTTTTTAAAAAATATACTATGTGCCTAGCTATAGTGTTTTTACATTTTGATTTAGTTCAATTAGATTTAAGTTTAAGTTTAATAAACCTGAACTTGAACTTTAAATTTTGTATAAACTTAAACCTAAACTATATTTAAAATTTATAAAACTGAACTGAACTTGAATATAAATATTAGTTCAAGTTCAAGTTTAGTTTAAAGTTCATAAACATTGTTTAGATTTAATACTATAATAAAATTATACTTTTTTTTTATATAATTTTATATAATCTTATATAATAAAGTAATTGGCCAATCAAATTTTAGATTGTAAAATACAAAAAATTATAAATTTATATTAACTTTAGCTATAATTTTTCTAACAACTACTAATCTAAATTTGATAAAATTTTTACTATATATAGAAGTAATATTGAGCTAAATATATTAAAATTTTATACAATTTAAATTATAGTTATTATTTAAAAACTATAAATAATTTTTTTAACAAATTTATTTATAATTTTAATTTTTAATAAATACTAGTTCAAATTATATAAAAATATAATATAGTTTTTTTTTTTTTTAATATTTAAAAGAATACTTTGGATATAGTATCTATCCCAAACTTTTATTAATATTTAAGTGAATTGATATATAGTGGTACTATAAATATATACATATTACATATTAGTATTAAAATTAGAACTTTAAATATACAAACCATTTATCTATAGCTAAAACTCACCAGAGCCATCAATATTTCTACATATGTAATTGATCTAGATTTTGTATATTTTTATCTACCTTCAATTAACTTTTATATATTCTCTGCTTCACCTACTTTACTTACTATCTCAACTTCCAAATTGGTGTATTAATGCTTCAAGTAGACATTTTCTGCTTTTAATTTAATATGTTTAGTTTTGTATTCCTACTTGGCATACTTGTTAGAAGTTTATATCTCAAGCTATACAGCTATTTTTACTATATTAAGTAAGTATCTCAAGCTTATATACTACCACAACTACTAACTTTTTTGTGACTTTTAAAACCCAGATTTTAATCTATCAAATTTAGTAATTATGCAAATAGCTATACTTTCCTCTATAGTGGTGAGATGCCTGGGTATATTTTGTAACAAGTTACTCTGTATTTTCAAAATCTTTTATAGTTAGATAGTATTATGAGGTTCAGAGTTCGTAACAAGTATGACATTATTTTTTTTTATAGTGATTCTTGGTAGTTATAGCTCCCAATTACACATTGCATATACTTATACTAGCTATCCCTTAATATGTAGACCAACACAGGCAAATTTGCCTGCATTTTTGCACTTTTTTAGCTCTGATTTACTTTTTTA